CATTGAGGATGCTTTAATCTAGTCTATGTCCCGCTAACACCTCCCCTTTGAGCAGATTCGTAGGATCTGGTGCTAGGGTCCAACTGCAACTGAGTGACTGGCTTGTGCTTTCGCTTAGTCCATCGTCTAAGCAATAAAGAAGTATCACTCTTTTCTTGCACAGAGACTGACATGTCTGTTCCCGGCGTTTTGATTTTAAAAAAATAAAAGTATGCATAACTTTTAATTCTCCAACATTCTCCTCCTCCGCGAAACAATGTCGGATCCTTATATCTCCACGTTACAAATAATAGGACTTTATTTAAACGATGTTTCTCGCATTGAATGTCGGATCCACTAGAAATGACTAGATGATTATGAACGACATTTGATTTGAGGTCAGAGTTTAATTCTTTTGAAGCATTACTTTCAAATCCATTAGGAATTTCATCAGTGGATAATGGATCATTACGGAAATCAACATCTAACAAAATTAAATTAGACTTCTGACCATAATTTGACTCAGCCGACATATTTTCCTCATTTTTATAAGAAATTTCATCAAAATTACATGCATTATTCTGAGAACCCATATCTGACACATTGTCATTAGAAATCGGATAAGCTGATTCAATATAAATTTTTGTCTCACAATGATTTTGAGTAACATTCGGTATAATTGGGTTCATCGTGTCACTGCAGTTATTTTCTGAATACGAGTCTCCATAGCTTTCTCGGCTAATATCACGTGGACCATAATTTTGTTCTAGCTGAAATTTATTTTCAGAGCTAGACAGGACCAGTAGTGTTTCATTCAGTTCTGGACTCCGGGCTTCATCTACAGGGTCTGGCTCTTGATCATCTCGTATTGCCACAACTTTATGAGCATTTAGCACAGTATTTTCTTGCTGTGAGCCGGACACGTTACAAATATTACGTTCTGATTCAGGTATAAAGGGATTTAAACCCTCCACTAGATATGCTTCTGAAATGTCTGTTACTGCATCATAAACAGATTTCTTATTTTCTGGTCGAGTGAAAAGTGTGCTCAATAGTTGTTGTTGCAAGGCTAACAACTTCTGCTGGTGCTGTAATATTAACCGCAACTGTTCTAAAGAAATCGCCATTTTTCTTTAGTTTTTCCCCGTCGCCACTGTTATAACTCTCTTTCTTCTTACGGTTAATGACCCAGCTATTCCTATTGCTTAGTATTCTCGGACACCGATTCACTCGACAAGTCCCCAAATCAGAACACGGTTGAACAGGAAAGAGATTATATTCCAAATAGCAAGTCAGAAGCACAATAGGGAAAAACGTCAGTATATTTATAGTTTTTACATAAGAAGATTCCAGAGTATTCTCCAACTATCGACTAGTGCTGATTGGATAAGGATTAGCCAATCAGCGTGCACCAAAGCAATCATGCATTGAGGATGCTTTAATCTAGTCTATGTCCCGCTAACACCTCCCCTTTGAGCAGATTCGTAGGATCTGGTGCTAGGGTCCAACTGCAACTGAGTGACTGGCTTGTGCTTTCGCTTAGTCCATCGTCTAAGCAATAAAGAAGTATCACTCTTTTCTTGCACAGAGACTGACATGTCTGTTCCCGGCGTTTTGATTTTAAAAAAATAAAAGTATGCATAACTTTTAATTCTCCAACATTCTCCTCCTCCGCGAAACAATGTCGGATCCTTATATCTCCACGTTACAAATAATAGGACTTTATTTAAACGATGTTTCTCGCATTGAATGTCGGATCCACTAGAAATGACTAGATGATTATGAACGACATTTGATTTGAGGTCAGAGTTTAATTCTTTTGAAGCATTACTTTCAAATCCATTAGGAATTTCATCAGTGGATAATGGATCATTACGGAAATCAACATCTAACAAAATTAAATTAGACTTCTGACCATAATTTGACTCAGCCGACATATTTTCCTCATTTTTATAAGAAATTTCATCAAAATTACATGCATTATTCTGAGAACCCATATCTGACACATTGTCATTAGAAATCGGATAAGCTGATTCAATATAAATTTTTGTCTCACAATGATTTTGAGTAACATTCGGTATAATTGGGTTCATCGTGTCACTGCAGTTATTTTCTGAATACGAGTCCCCATAGCTTTCTCGGCTAATATCACGTGGACCATAATTTTGTTCTAGCTGAAATTTATTTTCAGAGCTAGACAGGACCAGTAGTGTTTCATTCAGTTCTGGACTCCGGGCTTCATCTACAGGGTCTGGCTCTTGATCATCTCGTATTGCCACAACTTTATGAGCATTTAGCACAGTATTTTCTTGCTGTGAGCCGGACACGTTACAAATATTACGTTCTGATTCAGGTATAAAGGGATTTAAACCCTCCACTAGATATGCTTCTGAAATGTCTGTTACTGCATCATAAACAGATTTCTTATTTTCTGGTCGAGTGAAAAGTGTGCTCAATAGTTGTTGTTGCAAGGCTAACAACTTCTGCTGGTGCTGTAATATTAACCGCAACTGTTCTAAAGAAATCGCCATTTTTCTTTAGTTTTTCCCCGTCGCCACTGTTATAACTCTCTTTCTTCTTACGGTTAATGACCCAGCTATTCCTATTGCTTAGTATTCTCGGACACCGATTCACTCGACAAGTCCCCAAATCAGAACACGGTTGAACAGGAAAGAGATTATATTCCAAATAGCAAGTCAGAAGCACAATAGGGAAAAACGTCAGTATATTTATAGTTTTTACATAAGAAGATTCCAGAGTATTCTCCAACTATCGACTAGTGCTGATTGGATAAGGATTAGCCAATCAGCGTGCACCAAAGCAATCATGCATTGAGGATGCTTTAATCTAGTCTATGTCCCGCTAACACCTCCCCTTTGAGCAGATTCGTAGGATCTGGTGCTAGGGTCCAACTGCAACTGAGTGACTGGCTTGTGCTTTCGCTTAGTCCATCGTCTAAGCAATAAAGAAGTATCACTCTTTTCTTGCACAGAGACTGACATGTCTGTTCCCGGCGTTTTGATTTTAAAAAAATAAAAGTATGCATAACTTTTAATTCTCCAACATTCTCCTCCTCCGCGAAACAATGTCGGATCCTTATATCTCCACGTTACAAATAATAGGACTTTATTTAAACGATGTTTCTCGCATTGAATGTCGGATCCACTAGAAATGACTAGATGATTATGAACGACATTTGATTTGAGGTCAGAGTTTAATTCTTTTGAAGCATTACTTTCAAATCCATTAGGAATTTCATCAGTGGATAATGGATCATTACGGAAATCAACATCTAACAAAATTAAATTAGACTTCTGACCATAATTTGACTCAGCCGACATATTTTCCTCATTTTTATAAGAAATTTCATCAAAATTACATGCATTATTCTGAGAACCCATATCTGACACATTGTCATTAGAAATCGGATAAGCTGATTCAATATAAATTTTTGTCTCACAATGATTTTGAGTAACATTCGGTATAATTGGGTTCATCGTGTCACTGCAGTTATTTTCTGAATACGAGTCTCCATAGCTTTCTCGGCTAATATCACGTGGACCATAATTTTGTTCTAGCTGAAATTTATTTTCAGAGCTAGACAGGACCAGTAGTGTTTCATTCAGTTCTGGACTCCGGGCTTCATCTACAGGGTCTGGCTCTTGATCATCTCGTATTGCCACAACTTTATGAGCATTTAGCACAGTATTTTCTTGCTGTGAGCCGGACACGTTACAAATATTACGTTCTGATTCAGGTATAAAGGGATTTAAACCCTCCACTAGATATGCTTCTGAAATGTCTGTTACTGCATCATAAACAGATTTCTTATTTTCTGGTCGAGTGAAAAGTGTGCTCAATAGTTGTTGTTGCAAGGCTAACAACTTCTGCTGGTGCTGTAATATTAACCGCAACTGTTCTAAAGAAATCGCCATTTTTCTTTAGTTTTTCCCCGTCGCCACTGTTATAACTCTCTTTCTTCTTACGGTTAATGACCCAGCTATTCCTATTGCTTAGTATTCTCGGACACCGATTCACTCGACAAGTCCCCAAATCAGAACACGGTTGAACAGGAAAGAGATTATATTCCAAATAGCAAGTCAGAAGCACAATAGGGAAAAACGTCAGTATATTTATAGTTTTTACATAAGAAGATTCCAGAGTATTCTCCAACTATCGACTAGTGCTGATTGGATAAGGATTAGCCAATCAGCGTGCACCAAAGCAATCATGCATTGAGGATGCTTTAATCTAGTCTATGTCCCGCTAACACTAAGTCGATAAGTGTACCTCCTGGAAGGAGATCAATACCCGAGAATTCAGTCGACGAGAATGCTATTTCCATCAGTATGTCTATGATGAAGTTAAACAAGAATTGAGAAAGTAGACAGCCTTGAGGGACACCACTTGAGGTTACAAAAGCAGATGACAGTTTGTCATAAGCTCTGACTCGACTAATAGTGTTCTAGTAAAGAGGCTTCACAAGGTTTATGTACGTCTGAGGTATGCCTTTCAATGACAGACACTGCCACAGAATCTCGCGGTCTGCGGAGTCAAATGCTGCTTTTAAGTCAAGAAAAACTATCATTTTCGGACGCCGATAGTCATACCTGTGTTCTAAAACCTTACGAATAGTGAATATGTGGTCGATGCATCCACGACCAGGTCTAAAGCCAACCTGATTTTTTCGTATTTGCAGTTCATGAGTCTTAGTTAGATGACCAATAATTATTGAGGCTAGTACTTTAGATACTGTGTTAGTCAAACTAATCCATCTATGGTTATCACAGGATGATTTTGACCCTCTCTTATATATTGGGACGATCGGAGATTGTGACCAGTCAGATGGGATAACGTCCAACTTCCAGATTTTAGCTAAAATATTCGTCAACCTAATCGCTAAAATTGGACCACCATCCTCTGCCGATTTGAGTATTACAGTTTAATCTATCCATTTCAGTATGTACAACTAACACTAAATTCGTCAAATCTCACATTTTAGTAATTTTGGTAATTTTCAGCGTGAGCGTAAAAAGGATGCTGAACGTCAGGCTAAACGTATGCAATCTGATTTACCTGGAGTTATTTTGCAACGTGGGAATTCTTTGGATGAGCCACTGTTGAAACGATCTAAACTTGTACTTCCTGCTCCTCAAGTATCTGACCTGGAATTGGAAAATTTAATCAAAGTATGTTTCAAATGGTTTTGTAATTGTTAACTTATAACAAGTGCATACTGTGGTAATGAAACAATAACATTGGACTTATCATACTAAAAATCAGCATAAATTTAAATTAGAAGGATAAAACTGGAGCATTGCATTCGCGTTTATCATCAACTACAAAACAATGGGCATTTACGCAAGATTTTTACCTAGTTTTACATTAATCTACTTTTTCATTTCTTACAGGTCCTTAAAACTTTTTCGGCCTTTTGAGTTTAGTACTGACTTGCAGTTTGTTTCCTACAGTTTTGTTTTTATCTACTAAGTTATCAAAAAAGTCGACCACACATAGTCATATTTTTCGTTAAATAGTTTAAAGTTGAATATTAATACGCCAGTTTACATAATTTGATCATTTTACTTGTCACTAATTAAGTTTTACGTCGTATAAAATAATTTAAAAGTGACTGCCATGATTTACTTTTTCAATCTGTGTTTTTTTTACCACCCAAGTTTTTTTGTTTTGTTTCAAGTATTAATTTCTTTCTATAAATATCTGTCGAAGTATCCTAATAGAAAATCTAGTAGAATAAAATAAATACACCAGTATCCTTAAATACCACTTTCCTCTGACAACTTGTTTAGGCCTTAACCTACTTAATTTTTTTGCCAGTTTTTTCTCTTCTAAGTTTATGGATATAATTGGTTAAGACAAACAAATCTCGATTACTGGGTTACTAGTTCAAGATTATTTTGTTGTCGACGGGTTGTGTGGTGATAACATCATTAGCATTGAAATACAGAAAGTAACTTGAAACCATATATATGTATATATTCTATACTTTGTCTACCTGAATTTTGTTTGTGTTTGGTGTTCCAACACTTAGATCTCTTATTAACTGAATAGGTTACGCAATTTTTAGGAATGTACTTAACTAGATAATAGAATCTTAGCATTAGAAAAGATTAATTATCTATCAGTATATCACATAGAATAATCACCCACAATGATGTCGAATCAACTAAAGTGGATACTATTTTGCAAACTCAAATGATTAAAAATTTGGTTTCTTATTTTTAACATTATTTATCGAATTTTCATTTTTATCGTTTTATTGTGATCGGGGAAAATGGAAATTAGAAACAATCTGTCCACAACATAACACTAAATCAATTAGAGTTTGATTGGAAACTACATTTTTCTTCCCTTGTTCGAATGTTCCATGCCTATGGCCACTAGTACAAATTGGGACTTTCCTGCAACTTAATCTGAATGAACTTTAGATTTTTAAAATGAAAGGAAACAACACTGATAGATAAAATGCGATGTTACGATGCGACCGAGTGGTGGCTGCGTACAAAACTAACTTACTGTTGTAAACCCCTGATGAACTGATATTAGAAAGATACTTACATAGTAGATGAGATTTTTCTCCAAACAAAATGACATTATATACATAATACATAAAATAATGATAAACATAATTAGAAATCACTCAACAAGTAAACTATTTGATGACACACCAACTGTAGATCATCCACTCTCTCATGGGATTAATGCTTAATTATTACTCTATCATCTATCTTTTTGTTTTAATATTTATTATTACTCGTTTATTTGAATCGTCTTACAAAAACTATTAGGTCGGTCAAGCCGGTGAAAATGCTGTAAGAATGGCTATTGAAGATGCTGATGGTGAATTGGGCTCTGCAACACATCCTCTTTTACCGGAATATCCTACCGGTAGTTTTGCAACACCTGCGTTAAATCTTCAACGCACTCCAATGGCTGTGATAGATTCTGTGACTAGAGTAAGTTTTTATTCCGATTTTTGTATATTTAGCACACTTAAGTTCTTGCACAGTTTGGAGCTAACAAACGTATGCACCACAGAAATAAGATAACATCAAGAAAAATATAAGAGATGGAATTGGGGTACCATAACAAAAATGAATGAACCAGAATAGTTTGTCTAAAAATACAACTTAAAGGATTTCTTTCAATTTAGGGAGTTCATCTCACTATTACTAGGAATGTAAAGTGGAATTTTTATGGGATCCCCACTTGCTTCTATTCTGAGCCACATTTGATTATGTTACAAGCCATTGAGTTACACTACCTCTAAGTCCTCAGTCAGTAGGGTTGTCCTAACGAATCAACTAGTACCAATCCTATACAGCCCTCTTTTATACTACGGTACCATGTCATAAACTGACCTTATCCTCTTACTTTCGTAATAAAACACCCCTACCACGCGAACTGAGTGAGTAAAGCTTACTTGTCAAACTTTGTGAGGACGTCTCGGGAGAAGTGGACAAACGACCCCAACCCTCGGTCCTTCCAAGGCATCTAGGGGCTAGGTAAGATAAATTCCCTAGTATGTTCTAAACTTTATTTTTGACACATACACTTAGTAATTATTCATGTAACGTAATCTGTGCTGAGTGCATAAAGATTACTTCTCTTGAATGGCTAATATTAAGTTCTTCGCATTAAAAGAGTACAGGTAAGATAACAGTGTATGCCAACTACTATCCAAATAGTAATCAAGAACCCTAGCGCTGATCATACAGTGGTTGATTGGAGCGGACATTGTAGTCCTTCGACTATATTTGAGTAGTCAATTCTGGTTTAGTAGGACATCTAAAAACACATAGCCAAGTGGTAATTAGGATCCAATCAATTAGTGCTGCCCCAACTTCAGCACTTAGTGCAAGACCAGCTCCAGCAAAACCAGACGAAGATGCCATAGGGTCTCCGGACAAACGCACGTGAAACAAACGTTTTCATTAGACAGATGGGGAGTGAATGTGTGGTACTTCATTTGAGTCTTGAATACGAATCTTGGATAGAAAATAGACATCGATGTTAAGACTTAAATACACACACAAGTCTATCTGTTGTGCAGTCTGCATTAGTGTACGGACGCTATAAGAGGTCATTTTAAATTGCATACGTGGTTTCCAAAAGTTTGATTCATAATTCGTGTTTGGTTGTAACATTCAACATTCGACCAGTTAGTAACTTGAGATAATGAGTTGGATCCCTCCTCATCAGCTAATATTTTCAATCATTTGATATAGTTTTGTCGGTCGCTGATATAAGTAACTCATTCTAATTCACTTAGTCATCTCGGTCATACGCAACGTAGAACTTGGAATGTATGTGCATCAGTTCAAGTTACTACATAAATTTAACACAGTGAAATGAAATTATCAAGTCAAATGCCAGAGTTGTAGAAATGTTAACACTATCCATAGTAGTAGAAACTAATCAGTATAGAGAAAACAAATGTTAGGAGATTTTGGAAATAAAAATAATAGGGGAGACGAAAAGGTAAAAAAAACCTATGCATCATTGCGATCAATTCTGAACCATGTCATCCAACATCTCCAACCACTGGTTACGATAATCGCTAATTAGAGGTTGTTTTTCTTTTCTTTAGAATAACAAAATTGTCATCATATTAACACATTTTTTTCATGTTCATATTGGCCATTTTTGAAGTATTACATTTATACTAGGAATCGTTATCTAAATTAATTTGGGTTTATTTAAAAGAGTATTAAAACTCAGGAAACAGAACATACATGTAGACGAAGCAGAAACTTAAGTGTTTGCAGATTATATATGGTAAATATTAACTACATCAAAAGCGTGTGTAATTCACTTTTTTTTCCGATTAAATACTGATGTGGTAACTTGAACCAATTCACATACGTGACAGGTTGTTGATGTCTGACTGACTAACTTTTGATCAAGAGAGTGCAGAATTAATTTGAGGTAATAAAGCGACTATGTGAATTGTCTTCTTTTTTTCTGTATGTTGCAGCCTAAATCAACCGATCACTTCATAGTTTTATTTTTGTGAATCTTATTCATAAAATAATGTATATTCCCATAATATTTTTCCCATTTAATTGTTCGTCAAATTTTCTATTTGTTAATATCATTATTATTAAAACTTTTGGTTACTAGGAAGCACAAAATATTTTAGCTTTGCAACAAGTTCAAACTCCTCTTAAAGGTGGTGAAAATACTCCATTAGTTGGTGAATCTGATTTTTCTGGTACAACGCCTCGTTTACCAAATACTCTAGCAACTCCGAATGTTTTACTTCCTAGTCAAATAATTGGTGCTACTCCATTTCGTACACCGAACAGCAACATTGAAAATGGTATGTTGTGTTTTCCTTTTTTCTCAAAATTTCACGCTTATTTATGTGTATTTTTTTTCCCAATTGTAAAGAAAGTAAAATTCTATCTCATTCTGTTTAATTATTATTTTATTTCAAAAGGCCCGCCTCTTAACAATTTACCTAATGAGCTTCATTTTTAAAAATATTTATTTACAAAGTTAATAGAAAAACCATGGGTTATAAAAAGGTACTTGAAGGATTGTTGTGAACTTGATTAATCAATGATGAGTTTTCTGGACATACTTTGTTTCGTTTATTTTTCTGACGTTCATATCTATTTTATGTCTAAACTGAACAAACAGATCTACCGGTTTTTTATTGCATACACTCGAAAATAATTGAATTGACTTTAACTAGTTTAATTTTCGTTAAGTTAGTTATTCAAGACGGAAATGTTAAAATTTTGGAAGTAATCTTGTTGTAGTGTGCCAAAGATCCCACATGCTATTGTTTCATTTCAAACTAGTGCATATATTAATCTCTACTAACAGGATTTATATTTCATATTTTAATTAAATGCCCCGGTACGGCCAAAGGTGAGGGGAGTCTGCTTTCCATTTCGAAATGCTCTCAGATGGCCACGCGTATACGACCACTGCCTTTTCGTGGCGAGGGTGTTGTTTACGAAATTGAGAGGATGAAAAGCGGACGTCCGGCGCTTTAACCGAGTTGGTGAACACAAAGGGTCCGCCTAAGGGAGTTGGAAAACACTGATTCTAAATCAGTGGTGCAAATGGGCTCCAGTATCTTGAGAGAAAAAGGCTTATAAACCTTTTGTTGATCGCGGGCTACCATGGTACTTCATCTCGTAACGTTGCCTTGTGGATTAGATCTCTAGGTCAAAGGCCCAGGAAGTGGCTCCCTAGGAAAACCATCTACTTCGGTTTGGGCACCCGGTCAGCATCTCAGCCCTCACACAAATCGAATGATTTGTGTGGCACATATATATTTGGTGCCCGCTTGTACCAGTGTTTATTCGTTTAAATAATAATAAACATTGGGTTTAGCCATTCAGCTTTTAGGTGGTAAATCAGAAATTCGCTACAGTCGGTTTGTATCATTAAATTTTGTACAATTTAAACATGGCTCTCAGCTACATACTCAACTGAATTAACTCAATTATCAAGCATAGATTCGTGTACTTGCCTTCAAGCAAGGTTGGAATTATTACTGGTCCACCGAAACGTAATTAGGTAGAGGGAATTTCGAACCTGTGACTTTATAACTGAAATTCGATCGCCTTAACCACCGAGTTACCACTTCTGAATAATATTAATTTGTCATGGGTATATGCGTTAAGATCCTCATCATATGTAAGAAAAGTAGCTTGTTATTTCTCCGAACTATACTTATTTCCCTGCTTTTTATGGTCAATATTATGACATGTTCCTAACAGATTGATCTTATTGTTTAAAGTTTTTCACATATGAATGATTCTGTTGCATAAATAATTTATTCCGTCAACATAGAATTGATTGTCAATTTTCATTCAAGCTGTATACTTGTTCTATTGTCGTAACTTCTTATTGAACTATGTTTAATTGTGTTGTTTCCTAAATTTATACTACACTATACAGAGAATACACAAATTGATCTAAAAAAGATTTTAAGTAAAGTTTAGAGAGAATATATAAAGGGCTCATGAAATGTTAAAGTTTGTCTACAGTTATAAATCATAGTGGAAAATAGTTCTTTTCAAGTGGATGAGATGTTTCAGTTAAAGACGTGTGATAACTGAATTGATGATCCAAGGCTAAGATGACTAACATCCTCTTGTATTAATGAAAATATTAAACATTTACTATTTGTTATGCTTTTTTACCCATTCATTCATTGTTTCAATGATTGCTAATAAAAATAACTTCGGAAAGTTGTATGTGTATGTGATCTTGAAGTTACTGGCAGTGTTAAATAGTCTGATTTTTGAGGACTTTCAGAGATCCTGTTAATCATTACAATTAAGGTGGGATAAATGTATTCCTTGTAGTATTACTTGATGAATGAGTATGTAGTGTGGAAAAACTTCTTACAAGGTTAGTGCAAATGTGTAGTATACTGAATAACCAAATTTTAGTTAACATGATAAACTGTAAATCATGCATTCTTATACGAAAAACTAACAACACCAGTTGATAAGTATCTAGGATTGCAATTCGAATGTACAAACCTTTTAACATCTTATTAATAAATAAAGTTTCAGTTTTGTGGTGGTAAAGTGAATTGCCTTGATGCACCCGAAAATTTTATTCTCATCTCATTGCATAGTGACAAGACAAATCACTCATATAGTTATACAATGAATGTCTCTAATCGATACTGATGATCAGTTTATATATATATATATATCCTGCAGTGTTAAGTTTTATGAAGATCAAAATAGAATTTCGTTTCGCTTAGGTGGAGTTTTGTTCTCTGGGCTTGATGGTTAGGTCTACCTGAAGTTTATGTTAATAATGTTGTTCAGGAGAACAATGAAAGCTCCACAACCAAACCATCCAGCTCAAATAACAAAATTCCACCTTAATCATCTACATGAGCTGCAAATCTTCACCATCTCAAATCTTGTCTTATGTTTAATTGAAGCACTGACAAAATCTAAAATCATTTGAGATTCAACAAATATGTACGAATACATGAAATACCGCTTGTTTTAAATGGTTAGCATTAATGCTTAATAAATAACCCTTGTAGTGTTTAAGTGCATTAAACATACCTCATTTTAAGAAAATCAGAACGTATGATTATTTTAATATAATTGATAAGATATTTAAATATCTACTGAATCTTTTGTATTCTGCTCAATAATGTTCTATATTTTTGATTCCTAGTTATAATATAGACTGAATCAATTGAACTTTCAAGTATCATAGGTTTTCAATTATAGATATATTATCATAGGATCACTGATTGAACATTCAGTTTTATGAAAGATAAATTAGTTGACATAATCATGAATTGAATGTGAATTAATTTGTCTGGGATATTTAGTTGAGTCACATGGTCTCTCTTCGTAAGTGTGTATAATGCTGATGATTGTATGAACTGTTTGGAAAAAGAAAACGACGAGATTATAATTTATAGACAAACCGATCAGATATAAGATAACAGGTCTTAGATTTTGGCGCGAAATTCATCCACTCACATTTGGCTAAATGGAGTTTTGGAATTATAGCTTATGTCAGTTCGTGATGAAAACCCTAAATCTAATTCTTAACCTTAACCCCATCAACTGTAAATCATAATTCTAATTCTTCACACAGGTTTATAACCTTCATTTGGTTCTAGTTATTAGGTGGACATTCTCAAAGTCAGTCTATCGTCGCTCAAAGGTCGTCCATAAATTATTGTCTCACCAAAATAACTAAAGATAGATAAATTTATACGTTTTGAGTAGTATAGAAAACTTGTGGCTTTCTGAATTTAGTTCTCAATGTGGTGTTAATCAATAATTGTAGAGCCTAGTTGATAGAACTCTAAAAACATTTCCTACTAGGACATTTGTATTCACTTAATATTTCTTTATTTCATGTTCATCTCTTCGTTCTATACTTGTTAGTAGTTGTATTTATCTCTCTATTAGAGTCCCACTTTTTTCATACCTTAATTTCCGTTTCGTTCTATCATAAATAAAAAAATATATTTTAGGCACTCCAAATCTTCTCATGGGTGGTGATGCTAATAATACACCTGGTCCATTAAGAAAAGGTGAACAACATTATGGTCCCCCGGTGTCAAATACACCACTAAGAAATCGTTTGAATATAAATCCAATCGATGGAAATAATTTAGATGGTCTTAATAATATTAGTAACAATAATCATTCCGAAGGTATGGTAGACTATTATGACCAAAATGGTGTAAAAACAAATCTACGCAAAAGTTTGGCTAATCTACCAACACCGAAGAATAATTTCGAAATATTTCTCCCTGATGAAACTAAACCTAACGGTGATGATGCTGATGATAATGACGTTGAAGGTGTTAACGTAGATATGGATCAATTGGAAGAGGAGAGGGGAACTGCTTCAAGAATTCCAGATCAGTCAGATTTAGATAGACAATCTGAAAGAGAACGTGCTAAAGCCGCTGAATTGGAATGGTCTAAACGAAGTCAAGTTGTTAGACGATCTTTACCTAGACCATCAGCTGTGAACCATACGATTTTGCGTAATATTCCAGGTTCAGTTAACCAACTATCTCAACAAGATGCGAATATGACAGATTTACAAAAGGTATTGTTAAAATGGTTTTCTTTTGCATACACTATAAAATCGTTAAAGTACATCTAGATATTAACCAACCCTATAATCAATATGTTAGTACTATTTATCAAGTTTATTGTTTTAGGTGTAGGTTTTCTCATTGGTTTTTGAGCTTTTGTCTGACACCTCAAACTTTCAGGAAATCTATACTTGATAACCTCTTCAGTGGGCTAAGTGATTCTTCGTTAATGAATATAATAAAGCTTGAATTCTAGCTGAGTCAATTGTATTATGATTTTACGGTTTACATCATGGGATGACCTTACTTTGACAGCCAGGAAGAATTGGATAGCTGTTTGGTCCTAATACAGTATTCTCCAGTGATGAGCATCCATAATCCCACTGGGGATCAAGCCCAAGACCTTCAGGTTTCGCAAAAAGTCCTTAACGTTCAAACCACTCAGTCAATATCCAACTGTCTGTATTTCCAACTTCAGTCAATTAGTGGTATTTCACAACAATATTTCAGTACCATTTGTGGGTAACTGGCTCATTGCTAACATGTTTGAACGGGAATGGTCACAACTTTTCACTCGAACCCCAGGAATTACATCGGTAAACTAGTTACCAGTAAACATATGATTAATACTAACTTATTATTTTTTGCTTAAGGAATCTACTAAATTGCTTTGTTAATATGCATCAATCAACCATCATCCGCAGAGCACTGACAATTATATATCATGGTGGTATTAGTAGTTTTTGTAAATAACGCTACATGTAGATTTATTGGATTCATTGTAAAATTCTTACGTGTAGACTGTAATCGTTATAAATTGATTTGAGTTGGAGTAAGATTAGAAACCAAGTCTACTTCCGATTGCGTCCATGCTCTTGGCTTCCGTCATACTTCGTAGGTTGTTCAAAACCCGAGAAAGATGGACTCGCGAGGAGCAGGCTGGGTCTCATTTTGGTCGAGGATGTATTGATCATATCTTCACCCTCCGCCAAATGTTAGAACACCGCCATACTTATCAAAGGCCAACAATCGTAGTGTTCTTTGACATTAGGGCTGCCTTCGATTCGTCGGACAGGACTGTTCTCTGGGATTGTCTATTGAAGAAGGGTGTGCCTGAGAAGTTTATTAACATCCTAAAAGCCCTATATACAAACACCTCAGGTAGAGTGAGGGATACAACCACCTCTCTCCATTGTTCCATTCGAGCAGTGGGGTTAAGCAGGGTTGTCCAATCTCACCATTCCTCTTCAACTTTGCCATCGATGACATTCTGGAAACAGCTCTGATGGATGTAAGTAATGGTGGTGTGGATCTGTTGCCCGGAGAAAGACTTCTCGACCTTGAGTATGCGGACGATATTGTCTTACTGTGCGATAATGCCCAAGACATGCAATCTGCACATAATCAGTTGGCAATCAGTGTCCGTAGGTACGGTATGTGCAAAGTACTTCTACAAGACTGGCAGGATTCCAATCCTGTACTCACCCTGGATGGTGAGGAGATAGAAGTAGTCGAGAAGTTTATGTATCTGGGTAGCTGCATAAGTGCTGGTGGGGGTGTGAGTGATTAGATCAATGCACGTATAGTGAAAGCCAGAGCGGCTTATTCCAACCTGGGCCATCTTTGGCGCCTTCGTGATGTTAGTCTGGCTGTAAAAGGTCGGGTCTACAACGCGTCGGTGAGAGCAGTTTTGCTCTATGCTTGTGAAACCTGGTCTCTCCGAGTTGAGGACGTTAGACGACTCTTTGTGTTCGATCATCGTTGTCTCCGAAGGATTGCTGACATCCAGTAGCAACACCATGTTAGTAATGCAGAGGTTCGGCATCGTGTGTTCGGGCACAGAGATGATAATTCAATTGGTGTCACCATCTTGAAACACCGACTTCGATGGCTTGGACATGTTCTTCGAATGTCGTCCCAGAGAATTCCACGTCGTGCATTATTTGCCGACGGTGGGACTGGTTGGAAGAAGCGGAGGGGTGGTCATTGTATGACATGATGTCGTGGTATGAAAGAATGTTGCAAAGGACTGGCTTGTGCTGCTCCTTCACGACTCCTTGGTTGGGGTCCTAGAGATGGTGCAACACAGTGGCTAGAGGCGTTATCAGATATGGTTCAGAATAGAAGCCAGTGGCGATCCTGCTGTAACCTTCTTTTACTTTCTTCATAAAAAATGGGTGTATCTTCCTTAACTGAAAGATTTCTTCTGATTGTACCTTTCCGTTCCCTCATCATTACTACTATTATTATTACTACACTACTTACACCAATCTCTTCCTTATTGTTCTTTTTTTTACCCTCCTTACCTTTTTCTTACCCTCCTACACTATTTATTAATAACTGACTGTGGTTTCTATTCTTTTTTGTAAAATGTTTTTTTCACTCTTATTAGGCTGAAGAGTTGATTAAACAAGAAATGGTAACAATGATGCATTATGATAATTTAAACAACCCACCACCAAATCAATTGTTGGATGCAGCTAAGCAAACTACTGGTCCAAGTGGTGGCAGTGGTGTTGCTCCAGCTAGTCAACAGCGACGTTATTTACAACAGATAAAAGCTACACATGAAAGTTTTTTGAAAGATTGTCCATATGAACAGTTTGTTCCGGATGATTTGAAAGTGGTACGTTGTTTATGTCTGTGTGTATGTGGCATTTTTAAATGTCTTTTGTATTTAACGTGATAATTTTGTTTTGTTGTCTTATGGACTCTTTTTGTAATCATATTATGATGTCGAGTGTTGCTAGAAGTATGTAGATGGTTGTTACATCTTGGCTGCCCACATTGAGGGAGGATACTCGTTTAGATACGTGAAAAGAATACTGGATTAATAATGATCTTATGGAATAGGAAGCGTAACTACATAGCGTAAGGGACAATTACTTAAGGCCTGAAAAGTATGGCCCTTGTGTGAGTTTTCGGTTTCTTAGCTTTGTACTTTAAAGGCTTCTCGCCTGAAACACGAACATGCGGAGAAATGTTAGATGTTCCATATTCAGGTGCTATCTTTTCAATTCTCTTTTGTCATTGTAGGTAAACGCCATTGCTTCAAATGCTAGTTGTATGATGAAAACAATTTACTACCATCATACCGCAGTATAACTTCATTCTCAAATCTTGAGTCTGTTACTTCTAGTCTTACTGTCTGCCAACTAATCTGCCTGGCATGGTAGGACCTACTGCTTATACTCTTATTACCTCTACCACTACGGGATTTGAATCGACCACTGCAACTTTGTGCTAATGTGGTGTGGCAACTCGAACTGATGTATGTACCTACGAAGTTCTACATTGTTACTAACTGACTGATAGGGACAAGTATTTTTTTTATTAAATATGACTGGATTAGGTTGTCAGGACACAGAATCCCAACCACTCCGTCAAGGTATCAGCCACGGTTAGGTTATTGATGGTAAATACGTGGGTGAAATGCCGAAAATTGGTTACATATGCCGAGATACTTTCTGCTTTAATAAATCTTAAGACAAAATTTTTTAAAGTTCATTTACTTCCCAAATTGATTCACGTTAGAAAACGAGAGAGTATCGAACGTCTGTTTCGTTGTAGTATATGAGACTCCTCAATTATAAGTATTCACTACTCCTTACCTAAGGGTTGGATTAATGACCTTCAAGTGTCACCCTATATCTTCGTTTCACGATCTTGACTAGAAACTAAAAATATTCCATACCAAATGATGTTCCTATTACATTTCTGCTTTTTATTACATACTACTGATTGATTTTGTAAGTAGCTTATGATGTTGTAGTAATATTTCAAACCAATTACAGGCGGAGAATTTATTGGAAGAGGAGATGCATGTCGTTCGAAATGGTATGGGACATGGTGAATTATCAGCTGAAGCATATGCTAAAGTTTGGCATGAGTGTTTAAGCCAAGTTTTATATTTGCCAGCACATAGGCGTTATACACGAGCTAACTTAGTAACAAAACGTGATCGGATTGAATCACACGAGAAACGATTGGATCAACTTCGTCATCTTATGGCTGAAGAAGCTAAACGAGCAGCAAAACTGGAGAAGAAACTCAGGATATTGTTAGGTGGATATCAGGTAATCTGTAATGTACAATCTCTAAATTATTTTGGACCTAGTAAATTTGTTGATCAAGTTGTTTCAAACTCTGTCATTTGTACATATGTGTGCAAAAAATGAGTATACATTTTATCAAGGCTTTATTAAATTTCTCAAGGTATTCACCCGCCGAAAATAAGTTCGGAGACCTAATTTTTTGTCATATCTATGGGATGATTTGATGAAATGTAGTTGCCCAACCTTACACACTGTCGCTTGTTGGTAGTATACTTGTGAATATAGTATGCAGTGTGTTTTGCTTATGAACATGTACGTAAAGAAAGCATCTGCAACCACTAATGCCTACAAAGAAGTCATTTGGCAAACAATACGTAACTTATGTTTGCTTCATAATAGATGTAAGCATAATTTTATTTTTAGATTGTATTCATCACAGGTTGATCTCAGTTAAAGTTCTATTGAAAACTGGAAAACACTATGCAGCTGTTTTGTCTTGTTACGGGACTCTATAGTAGTTTGCATCCGCAATCCTATCGGGGATCAAATCCAAAACCTTTATGTCTCACAGGAAACTGTTGACCACAAAGTCACTGTTTTGGGGCTCACTGATACACTTACAACTTCAACCAATTCGCGATAAAGAACAACGACTATTCAGTGTTATCAGTAATAATTGTTTCACTTTAAACACGTTTGAACTCTACCAGTCACAACCTTATTTACTGTATATTTTCCAGTTAACATTAGGTGGCTCTCCAGTTCTGTTTTCTAAACTGAAGACTTAATAATCCTTTTTTATTTCATATCCTATTCCATAAAATAACTAACTCACATTTCTCCTATTATCCATTTTTAGTCACGTGCACAAACCTTAATGAAAGCCATTGAAGAAAGTGTCGATCAAATTGAACAAAGTCAAATGGAATTAACCACATATGAACGACTTCACGAGCAAGAGTTATGCGCTATCGCTAGACGTTCTGATGTAAGTAGCATGTTTGTGTTTTTCTAGTCAGGAAACAATTGAAATTATGAAAAGTTTTTATTCCTATATCAATTACTTTCAACATATATTTATTTGATTTTTCAGGTTTTAGAAGCTGATGTTGAACGTCAACAAAAACGAAATGCTGATCTTCAACGAGAGTATGGTAGATTAATTCGTATTCGTGAAGAACGTGAAGCAGACGCTTTCTTAGCTAGTAATATGGATTTGATTAGTAATGGTGGTGGTGGTGGTGGTAAAGATGATGGTGGCACATCAATATCGGTCACCGCTAGTGGTGATGTTACATCTGTTTCAACGGATATACATAATCAATCTAATACTGAATCATCACAAGGACAAAAACAAACAATGGTATATGGAAATAAGAATATAGTATCAGGCAAGTGGATTGCTGTGACACAGATTGAAAATATAGAAGATCCTGATCAACCGATGTTATCCAATGGAGAGATTCCTACACAGTCTCTGTAAGTCTACTACTTTAAATGTATCAGTAGCTCTTTTCTTTTTAAATGTACTGTAGTATGTATGGATAATTTATTATCAAGTCTACTATTACAACTTTTATTCTATTAAGTTAAGATTATGAAATTAATTGGATCTCTTGACAACTCGATAACAATATAATATTTTCTTGTAATTTTTTTCATGATGAGTGAATTGAAGTCTCCATTGAATAATGTAATCAAAGAAACACCACAATTGAATAGAAATATGATACAATAGTTGGAAAACATGTCATATATATTTCTTTATTCAAAGTTAGTGAATTAGACAGTCATAAGCGATTTAGAACCTGGGACACGTATACATTGGTTCAAGCTTTCATATTGCATTAGCATAATGAGGGAACTAACACTCAGATGGGGATAAATGATTTATTATTTAATGCGCAATCACATAGTGGTTTAGTAAAATGTGAAAATAGATCATTTGTACGTCTTTCAGGTGTCCTTTACATCCCTAATGGTTCTTCTGATTTCGTTTTTATTTCGATTCCTTTCTGTTGTCCATCTTCCTTCTCTCAATTTCAATCTTCTTTTGACAAGCAATCCACGTCTGTTTGGTGGTACATACTACTTTTATCGACTGGTTTAAGCACTATACATCACAGTATATATGGTAATAGAAAAGATTAAGCACACATGGTACCATTCATGAAAAAAAATTAGGGGAACAAAAAAATCATTCGGAAGTCAAAAGCTTAGAATTTTAGGGGAAGAAAAAAAGTGGATTCACCTGCACCATTGCAAACGGTTTTGAGCCATGTCGTTCAAAGTTTTCAACCATTAGTTGCAATAATCATGCGGACTACTACCAGGTGGTATGCGCCCAAGTATTTAACTCAATTCAATCGTCATTGTTTTGATGGATTGATGCCACGTCTTGGTTAGACCGTCTCTATCTTTCTTCCAACCTATTCCCATATCAGACAACGTAGCGTGTCGAGGTAGGCTGTGGTTGATTATACGCAATATATGTCCCATCCACTTCAATTGATGAGAATTTACTACCTATTCAATCGTTTTTCCATCCTTATGTAATACCCTATTCTTAACGCAGCGATTTCTTACTCGGTGATCGAAAAATACGCAAGCAATGCTTTAAAGATATGTTTGAATACTAGTAACCTAAGAATATCCCTTATTCATACCTATTGATTATAATTATTTTCAAAACATTCTTTGGGTATTCTGGAACAAACGAGTAAGGAATATTGAGATTGGGGTATAGTAGGCAAATATGGCGAATTAGTTTATTAGACTGTGAATCCTCATGGACTGTGGATTGGACATGTGTTAGTTATGCCCAGCGACTGCCTGTTTCTGCTTCAAATGTTATCCAGAGTGGGAATATAAGTTGAAAGAAAACTAAGGGCGGTCAAATTAAGACATATCATCAGCTTATGATATCATTGACTAATTGGTTGGCTTTTGTTAGTATTTTCCAACTACCTGCTCAAGATCCGCGTTGTAATTGTAATCATTACTTTTAGGCCCCAGTTGAATTAGTTCATAATCACTCACAGAGGCACAGATCTACTTACTCTTTATCTTACTGTAAGCCTTCAGTTTCAATTTTATTTCACACTTTTTTCCCCTCAAATATGTCCGTTCTCTTTGAACCATATTCTCCAGTGTTAGACCGTTGTCGTGATCATTAATGCTACTGTAACGAACAACAACAACTTGAGCAGGGAAATTAAATTTTGATTTGCAAGATTACGCACTGCATTTTTCAAATATGAAATCAATACATTAAGTACACCACATATTTATCTTCCTTGAATTGTCTCTTACAAATCCCATCATTCTTCCTTTGCTGTTGTTACTCCGGCTGTTTTCTGTTTTTCCTTTCTCATTTTCCTCTTCTGCCAGTAAGAATTTTACTATCACTTCCTACTACGTACTACTCATATCCGTCTGTACAAGTAACAAACACCATACGACTATTAGTTTAAACCTTCTTAGCAACTCTGAAGTTGGACGCAGGGTATTGGGTAAGTATGATAAACCAACTTATGAGATAATGAGGCTTTATCGACGGAGATGTATTACCGTATTCTTGTTCACCGTCTACCTCTAAGCACGATGATAGCTGATGTAGGAGTAGGTTGAAATGTCATGATCGATGAAAACAAAACATGGCATCACCCCATGAAGTCATTGACAATTGGGCTGAGTCATGTAGGTGGATCCATACTACTTGGTTGTGTTCCACATGATTATCGTAACCAACGGTTAGAAAATTTGAATGACGGCTCAGAAGCGTTTGCTCTGGGTTAGATGCACCCATTCTTTGTCTTCTCTCAAATTCTGAGCTTCTGAATTCCTCAATTTTTTTTAATCATTTCACTGATTTGTATTTTCTCGACTTTTATCTTGGTTGCTTAATCTTTCCTATTATCAATTATACTGTCAATATTTTTAATACTCTGAGGTTTGCCTAAATAATTTCATCTCACCGTTTTTATGGGGTTATGGGGACTGGAATCGATATACACAGATGCCAAGTTCTACATTGAAACTCACTAACTGACCTGTAGGCTTTTAAATCAAATATTTGAATGACGCAATATTTAGAGTGAAAGAAAGAGATTTACCATGGTATTACAAACTCATCATTTTTTCTTATTCTTTTTTGTTTCATTTTAGTCATGATTCCAATCATTTCGAACATGATAATAATGATAATCATCTTCACTATACTACTGATGAAAATGTTATTGTGTCTCCTTCAAATAACAATGAGAAAACATCGCCTAATGATACAGAATCATTGAATAATATCATGATAGAATCAACAGTAAAGCAACAAACTATTAGTTCACATTAAAATGTTATTTTATCTAATTTCCATGTATACAGAATTGTTTTTGCCTACCTTCCCCCCCTCTCTCTCTCTTTTTCTCTATCTCTCCCCCCTCAATCTGATTTTCATGCTTCCCAAGTGTGTGTGTGTGTGTGTGTTTTAAAAAAACATCTTGGTCCTATTCATTTTTTTTATTTCCCTTTTTTTTGTATGAAGACTTCAGAATTTTCTATACATTATGCAAAGTATAAACTAACTAGCTAATGGCAATTTGTTCACTGTTTTCTTTATAAATTAGTGAATTATGTATTTATGCTTGTATTGAAAAAACTATAAAAGAAACATTTTGTTTCACACCATTATATCTATTACTTCCTCTTTCTCTCTCTCTGTCTCTGCTATTCACTTAAGTGTGTTTGTAAAGAATAGTAATAAGAATAATAAACATCGTAATGATTATAATTATCACTATTATTACAGTTATGTAATCTATGCATAAATTCTATTATTGAAAAGAAGATTATTTTTAACCATTTTGATAAACAAATAAATTTGATGAATTTGTAAGTCAATTGAAGCTAGACTAGTATGGGAAACTTGGAAACATTGGACGGCCGTTTTGTCCTATTGTGGAACTCCCCAACAGTGCGTAACCACGATTCTGTCTCGTGAGATTCGAACTCAGGACCTATCAGTCTCGCACACGAACGCTTAATCTTTAGACCATTGAGCTGGGAATTTCGTGAATTAGTTGAAATTAAACATTAACACTGTTGGTTATGCGTTCGCTCCCGAGACTGATACGTCCTGGGTTCGAATCTCGCTAGGAGGGGTCGTGGATGCGCACTGCTGGGGAGTCCCATACTAAGACGAAACGGCCGTTCAGTGCTTCCAGGTTTTCCATGGTGGTTTCAATCGACTTATGAATTCAACTATAAAATTACTAAAATTTCCACAAAACCCTTTCTGAAAATAAAATTGACTTAGTTGGAATAAAGAGTATCGATGTTTAGATTGTCCGTTAGAACGAGAGATTTTCTTGAAAATTCATTTTTCAATATAATATAAAGTTCACAAATAAAACATACTCTTCGAAATACTTTAGTTCTCTTAAAGGCAAAAATATCCCCTTTATGTTAACATACAATTGTGTCTACAAATTAGGATGTGTCTATTGTGATGTCTTCTAATAATAGAGAGTCATCTCATGAAATATTGACTTGAGCTAAAGAACATGTTAAGTACACAAAGAAACCATGGAACTGGAAAGATTCCAAATTAAATCAGAAATAGCAGTTCATATCATTTTTATCAACTATCAAATCGATATTAAAAACATCAAAATAATACAAAACAGCTTTTCCAACTATAAAGAAAGGTGAGTGGCTGAAGCTTTTCATATATTGCTTAATCCTACTGCCCTCAATAAAAACAAAGTCTCACTATCTATCTGATTTGGACCATCTATCCGAGCTAGTATGTCTGATTCTATTCTCACATTTCACACCATCATCGCACATACAAATCCAACTCTATCCTTTCTCACCACAAATATCGTATATTCCATCCTTTACCATCCGTACATACAAATATACAAACATGCCTCATATAAATCACCTTGACCGGAATGACGTAACACTGACCAAGTCAGTGTCATGTGGTTTTTGATTGGTCACACCAAATATTCTTGCTTTGTACGTTTATACTATTTAAACTAATTAATTTGATTTGGTTATTTATTCTCTGAAGAAGTGGGTTACATTAAGTCACGAAACGTCAGAAATTTTACTTATAACAATCTATCCAATGTTTAATTTATTTGAAATGATCAGGTCAAACCTTAATAATGATACATAGAATAAGGTTTACTTAATTGAAGTTATCCAAAACGTTTTGATTGTACAATAGGTGTGCTATTTTTTGTTTGGTAAATGAAGTATGCATTTTCAAGTGTTAGTTTTATCCTTAACAGTTCATTATCTTTATAGTTTCCATCCGGTGTACTGCTTTTGTAGTCGTATATTTGACTCCAGTTAGATCGTTTGCTGATTGTTATCGAAATATACATACTGTCAACCTTTATATTCTTATTAACTTAATTCACATTAGAGAATAACGGAATAAAATAAGCCAAATGCGAGAATGTATTTTGAATACGTATATTATATACATTCACTGACATGAATAGACAGTCAGAGAAACGAAGTGACACTCAGCGGAGAAAGCAAATGAACTAACTCGTTTTGATCAAGTGTGACACAATATTTATATTCAGACAAATATGAATTACAAACACTAAATGAATAGGGCAAGCAATCATATGAAAACAGTCAGGATTAATAAGCGAATCAGTGATAATAAAGTAAAAATATAGCTTGAGAAAAAAATGAATAGAATGGTCTGTCCAGAAGTTAACGTTAATAACCTACGTGGGTTTGACCTAATACCAGTCAATAAATTGCGTTACACTGATATATTCATAGTAGAAAGTTAGTGAAATATTTGAAATTCATTTTTTAATGGAATGTGTGTACACTATGCAGCATTTATCATCCTCTAAATAAGTTTTGGATCTATTAATACACAAACTAATTTTATATCAACATTGTCGTTACTTATCCAACTAAAGATATCTAGGCTGAAACCATAACTAGGTGTACAATTAACAATCTGTGATAGGGAGTTTTGTGTTTAATGAATCAATAAGACATTCATCTTGGGATAGTGTGAGAACAGACACATGGTGAATTCTAATTCTCGGTCAATGATTGTTCATCAATTTCCTATAAAAACTTTGACTCACTCGTGTTATCAGTCACGTGAAGGTCGCTGGTTTGATAAGTGTAAAGTGAGCCCCCAAATGCCCTGGTACGACCGAGAGTGGAGAGAGTCCGCTCTCCCTCTCAAGATGCTCTCACATGCCCACAGGTATATAGCCTCTGCCAGGGAAGTCCTACTCACTACCTTCTCGTGGCAGGGGTGTTGTTTACAGAACTGAGAGGATGAAAAGTGGATGTCTGGCGCTTTAACCGGGTTGATGGACATGGAGAGTCCACCTAGGGGAGTTGGAAAACCTTGATTCCAAACCAATGGCGCACATGGGCTCTAGTATCCTGAAGGAGTAAATGGCGTATGGACCAATCGTTGGTCACCGGTTACCATGGGATTGCATCTCCTTACGATGCTCCATTACCTTGTAGGCCAGACCTTCAGGTCGAAGGCTCCAGGTGTGGCCCCCTAAGAAAATCACCTGTTTCGGTTTGGGCACCCGTGCAGTATCACAACCCTCACACATATCGAATGAGATTTGTGTGGCGCATATGTATTTGGTGCCTCCTTGTACCAATGTTTATATGTTTAAATAAATAAATAAAAGCTTCAGCCTTAGTTTTAAATATGAGAGAAGTGAAGATATATATGGTCATGTGGTTGACTTTATGCTTAAACGTTTTGTTTCTTTTAACAAATAGAAAAAGTCAACTATTTATAATCGATAGTCCCTTGTAATTTTCCATGTAAATTTTTGCATTCACAATAACTTTTCTAATTGATTATAACCTGTGAGGGTTATTTTTTAAGAATCATTCAACTTCGACCTTATATTGAAGTCTCACCGTGAGACTATAATTTATGGACGATCTTTGAACGATGCTAAACTGACCTTCAGAATGTCCACCTAATAAACACGACTAAATGAGGGGTATAAACTTGTGTGAGGAATTGTAATTATGATTTACAGTTGATAGAGTTAAAGTTAGGAATTAGATTTAGGGTTTTCATCACGAACTGACATCAGCTATAATGCCAAAACTCCATTTATCCAAATGGATGGGTGAATTTCCCGCCAAAATCTAAGACCTGTTATCTTATATCTGATCGGTTCGTCCATAAATTATCGTCTCACCATAGGTATCTATACCAAAGATGGACTTGATCATTTCAAATCAATTGAACATTAGGTATAGAGTTAATAATTAATATATTTGTTGTTATGTCCCAATAAGTAAAACATTTTAATTCTTGATGTTTCGCAACCTAATGTAAGCTACTTCTTCGGAGTAATTAAATAAATAACCGAAATTAAATTAACACAACTTTAATTCGGCCATTTATTTACTTACTGTGAAGATGTGGCTTACCTTAAGTTACGAAACACCGGTGATATGTGGGTGAAAGTGATAATGATTGGTCGTCTGCATGGTTAGACATGTAGATACTCTGACACGTGTCAAATGAGTTATATATTCCCCTAATGATTATTGTTGATTGTTCATTGTTGTTGGATTGTGTTGGGTTTTTGGTATGAAAATGTATTGACATTCTAGTCAAGCGAATCACGTGTTCTTAATCATCTGAGTTATGTTGAAGTTCTGTAGAATAGACAAACTGAGATGGAATCTAGTGTAGATAATCGTTTAAGGTAAATTAATGTCCCATACATGTAAACATTGGAAAACTAACTGTTATAACCACCAGAAATATAATTTTTCTACTCATCGAATCTCACGAGGCGAGGTTGTGAATGCACACTGCTGAACAGTGCGACAATAGGATAAAACGGCCATCTAGTTCTTCCAGGTTTTTCATGATGGTCTAGTTTCAATTAACTCATGATCTTAACCATTGAAATTGTTTTATATGTTTAACCTTTATTCTTTTACATTGTCCTTTTATAATATAAATTGATTTATAATTAAACATTATTTTCTGATTGGCTGAAAAATCGTTCAAGGTCATCGGTATTGTTTACTTCTATGTCAAGGAAACAAAACTTATTAAATTAATAAATCATTTAAGGTTTATTAAGGAGTTACTTAAAAAAGGATCTTTCTACCTAATATTTTGTCATTGTAATGTTGTGACTAATGAAGTGAATCAATTTTGAAGATAAATCAATATTTTTGACGATGATATTGAATACAAATGATGTTTCTTCTTTTTGTTTGTTTAAGAATTCACTAAATATGAGATAGATAATGGCTAGAAATGGAATCCAAGATACGCGTTTTGTCCTATTTCGGACT